GGAAGATGTGGACTGTGAAATAGCTGATATTCAAAACAAACATGTCAAACAAATGCTTTTGTGCAACTTTACAGAATCACAGATCTGAGATTGAGGAGCAGAGAGCCTGAAGAGAAGGAATATCAGAATGGGTGAAGTGATAAAAACAGAAAAACTGAGACGGAGATCTACCCAGATCTATGAAACATCCCTACTGAGCAAACTAGGGAGAAGCCGCAAAGAAATGGATGAGAGCGGTGATGGGGGGTGCTTAGTGGGAGGCCTCTCTTTTGAACTAGAGAGGAGGGAAGGATGCAGCGCCTACCAGACTGCAAACCAGCAGATTAAAGACAGAGAGATCACAACTGATGAGACGGGGCAAAAGTAGAGACTAAAACCTCAGCAAGTCTAGGAAAAGAGGAAAGGAGACAAGAGAAGGAGACGAGGCGACGAAAGGTCCAATCTCCCCTGGCGTCTCTGAGCTGCAGCCAGGACTTTGATCCTGCACTTCATTTAAAATCCACTGTAGGAAACCTTCCCACTTGTACAGGATTAAACCCTCATTCCACTTTATTTGGAATATGAAATATTACTCACATACATCCAGGATGAGTTCAAATTAAAAAGTTTTTTTCACAACTCAAATTCAGAAACCTGGTGCAGAAAGGGGGCGATCCTGGCTGCTCATCATTTCTGTCTTTGTTCCCTCTCTCTCATCGCCGTTGTAAAGGTGAAACCTGAAGAGAAATTTTAAAGTCTTACTGCAATTTTCCCCCCACTCTAATGTGGCTCATTATGTCTTTTGAATTAAACCACCATTAGTGCACAGCGAGGTACATTAGTATTAGAGAGGGAGGAAAGAGACCAGACATTTCTCATCAGTTAGAGCCTTAAAAGCTACAAACCCAGGAACATTTGATGTATACACAGGGACACTGACAAATGTTGTTTTTCTCTTTTAATAAAATATATTCAAGTGTTTGTAACTCTCGATAAGGAAGATCATATACTGGATCAGGATTCCTTGCCACATGACAAAGCTGATAAACAGTAAAAACTCGTGATCTGGAGCCGACATCAGCTGTAAACAGAGATGCTTCCAGACACCAGGGAGTGTGACAGTCCCTTGGTAGTACCAACATTTACTACCAATATTTGTGGTTTAAAGAAAAAAGTTTAAGGTGTATCAATGCTTTTCCCATGTTGGTAAGGTTACATTCACACTGCAGCCTGAAGTGACCCAAATCCCATTTTTAATTAAATCGTTTCCAAATGTATGTGATCTCCAGTGTGAACTGCAAACCTGCTGTAAACTACCTGAAAGTGTCCCGCATGCGCAATAGAGGGCGTAATAACGTCACACGTTGAGAGTGTTTTGCCAACCGCCATTAAAAAGAAGAAGAAAAAGCGCTCAGTGTTTGCGGAAGTAAACATAGATGCTGACGGTGGAGCATCTCATACGATTTTTAAGTTGTCCGACCGGAGCCAGCACATTAACAACCTAATCCTCATTTTGGTCCGCCATAGTTTTTCTTCCCGCTTCCTCATATCAGGGCGCACAGTAGTGACGTTTGTCGAGTATGGATGACGTTCAGGTCGGCTGAACGCAACCTGACCTGGACGTACAGACACATCTGTAAAGATCAGATACAGTACTGGATATCCAGTTGGCTTGGATCGCATTGAAAAAAGAAAAATCTGATCTGTGTTGTTTTAGATCAGTGGTCCCCAAACTTTTTCCTGTCAGGGCCACATAACTTTTCCCTTCTCTGGTGGGGGGGGAGGGGGTGTTGGAGGGGAGGTGTGGTTCTCGATTGATTGTTACCCAGAAAGCACATGGGCAAAAACCATGAGTGAAATGGTCACTGGGACCAGCTAGTATATATTCCATTGAGGGAATGTAACTATAATATATTAATTTCTCATATGTTAACATAAAGGCTTTTTGAAGCATAAGTTGCTACTTGGAGGCATCGCTTCGAAGAATTCAACCTGGAACGCGGCGTTCATAACAGACACGTGTTCATCTGCTCTACCGCTACCGTACTGATTAAATAAATTACTCCGCGGAGGACGAATATCCAGTAACCAATTTGCAAAACAACTTTGCTGCGGTCGTTAATACAGTGACAACACCGTTGTTCTGACTAGTTTGTTTTGGTCTGTGGGCTGCAAACATGGCGCCGAGCGAACGTCATACGCTGTGACGTCAGCTCCAAAGCTCTATAACGTGTTTAATGTCGTCCTGTCGTCAGTTTGTCACTTATTAAAGCCGAGATCGACTCAAAACCTTCCGCGATCGACATGTCGCACTCCTGCTCTAGCAAAGCATGAACAGTTCAGAAACAATATGAAATGGGAATAAAGATATTTATTAACTGATTAAATCGTGTTTTAGATTGTTGTTGAAAAACTAATCAGTCACAGCTGCCCAGTGAACCCGTTGATTCTTTACAGCAGACAGCCGCTCCCATCTCTTGCAGGTACTGCGAACCCCCGCTAAATCTTTTAGGGGTACGCAGTACCCTACCGTACCCCCCTACTGTCATCCCTGGGTACAGGTCGCATTAAACCCAAGAAATCTGAATTGTGTCACTTTAGGCTGCAGTGTGCACTTAGCCTAAGAGTTTCTGGTATAAAACTTTATCTTCAAGCAGCTCAGCCAAAAAATAAATGTGGCAAAATGTATGATTACAAAGAAAAGATGTCTGTTGGATGATTTGACAACATTAGTACTTCTAAGTGCAATAAAATCAGGTTGTAATATGTATGAACTCTTCAGTGTGTTAAACTTTACAGCCTCTCATTCCAGAAGAAAATGTTAGATCAAGTGTTTTTCTGCAGCATCAGGCTGCTTGACCATTCCTTTTAAGTCTGGAAATTGACTTTTGAGCTTATTTGCTTTTATGGTTTGGCTGATTCTCTGTAAACCAAAGAGATATGATGTGGAAAATATATGCTAATATATATATTACCAAACAACAACTATAATAAAACGAGGCACACCACAGTCTGTTGGGCAGAATTAAATGATGTCCTTTACTCCCCCCGCTTTAATATTACATCACAACCTCAGGGCTAATACGGATTTATTCTTTATAAGCAAAACTAAAAACATGATTTCACTAAAACAGACATATTTAAACCACAATGAATGACAAAACCTTAAAAAATCTTATGTTTAAACTGTTTCCTGCTCTGCAGCTGCACAGGTGTTCTGAATTATGTCTAATTAAACATCTCCAGCTTTGAACGGGTTTGGAAGGAAAGCACCGAAGACCTGATGAAAAACTTGTTTAATTAACTTTGCTAACAAAGTTTTTCTGTATATTTTTGCTTAAAACTGGTGATCTGGCTTCCAGTAAACCTGCTTACCTCTCGGATATTACTCCGCCATTTAAGGACTTGATGAGCGACTCTCTTGTAAGTATAACGTGTTTAATGTCGTCCTGTCGTCTTTTTTGGTGTCATTTAGTTGTTAAAGTTTTATTAGCATATGGTTTGGTTTGAATACTTTTTAAGCTGTTAGAAGTGGCATAAAGTCTGTATTAACTCGATGCATTGCCTTGAGTTTTGGCTGGCACTGCGGCGTCCTGGTTCTACTTCAGGCGTATCTGCTGGATTTATTTCTTACCTAATAGTTTTTACGTCCAAACTGCCGTTTTTATGGCTCATTCTGCTGCTTGTGCTTTTTATCTGCTTTTGTTTATTTTGATGGAGCTTTACCCTGAAGTGGGATTTTATTTTTTTGCACAACCACACCGTCATTGAAGTAAAACCAAACAGAGACCGAGTTTCAGATTTATCGTAGCTAGATTCATAAAACTCTACTTGCGCATGCGCAAGAATGTACAGTCGGAAGGATGAAATACAAGGCGTCTGCTCTCGACTTTTTGTGTAGCACATTTCAGCTTTACATCAAAAACACAAAAGTAAAAAGTTATAAAACCATCATACAGTCACCAGTTAAGAAACCAGTTAGAAAAATTCCATGTTTTTATAAACGTAAAACAACGTTTTAGGTTCATTTAAGCAAATTATTCTTGTCTTCAGATCATTGAAAGATTGTTTTGTTGTATTCAAACTTCAGCAAAAAGATTCAGCTTTGATATTAAGAGTGTGGACAGAAATAGATGTAAACTTTACATAGGCATATAAAAGTCTCAGCAAAAAGAATAAAATGAAAAAATTGTTGCTGGATCAGAAATGGCATCTTTTCTCTGAATTACAAAAAAATCATGTTGTGCTCATTGGTTTACTTTTTTACATTAAAGTTGCTGATATGTACTTTGAGATGGTGAGATAATTGACACATCAATTTAGTTTAAAATGGGTTAAAATTGTAATTCAACAACCTGCCTTTATGATTATGAGCGTCATAATATTGGTACCGACTGCTGATTCTGGCCTTTAGGTTGGATAATGCTGATGATTTAGGAAGGAAATGATTCAGAAATATGTCTGAAATCAAACATTTACTTTTCCAGCTTCTTGCTCTTTCCTGCTGCTTTTAAGTTTTCACATTTCATCACTTCCTGCAGCCCAAATTTGCTTCATTACATTCCTTGCGTTGCTTGAAAAACGTCGTTCTAACTTCATTGGACCTCTTGTTAAAAATTAAAGCTTCTTTGTCAATTTCCATTTAAATCTCCACGGTTCTTTTGTTATGAAAGAAATGAGTTAAAATTAGTTTTTTTTTTAAAGTTAAAGCAATGCTCCTTTCAGGTTTTCTGCACTGGCCTGTCGGCCACTTCTTCTGAAACTTCAGCAGAAACACTGATGTTCTCTGAAGGCTTCACACCTTTTCTGCTGAGCAGAGTTTTCTCTCTTCAGAGAATAAAAATCTGGGCATGTGAAACAAATTAATGTTGGAACTCAAAAGTTCAGTTATTTGGTTAAATTTTAAACAGGATATGTGAGATTTCACCATTAGCAAGCACAAAAGATTCCTACATTAAGACTTCTGGAAAGTGTGGGATTTAACTACTGCTTCTTCTGTCTTTCTCGCTTTCACTTTAAACGGAAAATTACATGCATGTGGCTTTGGATTGATGGATGAATGCAGAGCCGGAGGCAACAATTTCAACTTACAAGTGAGTCGGTGTGTGATTTCAGCCCAGCTTTTATGTCAGTTAAAAGACGACACCACCTCATGCACAAAGTTATGATGGGAGGTTGTCAATCTCTGGTTTTATCGCTGCATTTCCCCACCGCGTTGCTTTGACTAGGCCTCTGCTACATGGTGACTGTGAAATGTGAATTTATATTTTTATTTCTCTCCCATTTGAGACTGTGCTGCTGAGATGTAGTGTGCCTCTTTGCTGTGAAACATTGTCTGCTATTGGCAGGGAAAGATGACATTTTCAGACTTGTGTTTTATCTCCATCAGCTGTGTGAAGGTGACTCTGTTTATAAGCTTTTCCATACATTATATGAATTGTTTGAACATCCGTCAGTTTAGTTTGTCAGTTTTGAACAAATATGCAGCACTAAAAGTGTTTCGCATCAATCCACTTTCATAAAAGTAAACCGGATTGCTTTTTGAAAGATTGCAGCTAAATTATGCAAACAAGAGACTTTAGTAAAGCTCTGTGAATATATTATATTCTGTATGATAAAGTATCTGAGTTTCTGCAGACACAACAAACACTATGACGTTAGCAGGCATCTATGTGGAGCTTTGCTACATTTGAACATATTTAATGTTCTCAAAACAGTGATATAAAAATGCTACAATATTTAAGTGAATATAACTGTCTGAAATTAGTTTTTAAAACTCAACATTTATTTAATTTCAAACAAAGTAAAAACAAGAAAAAATAAAAATTAAAGCAATCATCTTGCTCAGTTGACATGTAATTTTACATAATCTGTTCAAAATCTTAAGTCAGTTTAATAGATTAACTTTCACTTTGCCAAGACATTTATTGGCTTTGCATCCATTTGGCAGCTTCACCGCACACAGAAAACGTCCACCAGCTACGTACGGCTCTGCTGCCCAGCCGGGATGGGAGGAAATTTATTTTACGGTTTGTCCGTGAAGCTGCATCCGCCCGCTGCGTTCAGCCTGCATGTGTCCTGTATGAACAGCCCCCAGGCAGCAGCTCCAGGAGGACGGCTGCTGTCTCCCATGCATCGCTTCACTCATTTCCCCGAAAAACGATAAAAACCCGATATGATCATGAATCGGTGAAATCCCCCCGGACCGGACTTGAAAACTGGACAAGTTGTGCTGCTAGCCCTTTGCATTAGTCAACAACTCGGAGGCGGAAGTGAGTGT